TACACCTGTGTTTTTCACCAAAATTACAGCCAACCGGACCTGGGTTAAATACCCAACCTATCCTACTATTGAGTGGACTTTGGGGCCACAGTGTTTCGGCAGCATTTCCTCCGCCAGGGATAAGACTAAGACCCCCTTCTAAGGTGTTCTTCTGCACAAGGCCACTGGCAGCCTAGGCTTGAGAGGGTTGTTGGCCCCACAAAGCCTATTTGTCTAAATATTCGGTGGGTGCCGAATCTGTTGGCCCTGAACAGAACTTAAACAAACCAAAATTGATGGCCGGCCAACTAATAGTTCGATGGGCAGGGGAACTGAGGGGCGGATCCAGGCTCTGGCATCTATCAAGTAGATGCTCAGACCACCAAGTAACGGTATCCACACATGGATTGAAACTTTAAGGAATTAAAATGGTTTATTAAACACAACAAGCAATCACTAAAAAATACCAAAACCTATTACTTACCCTGGACACAATTTACAGTACTAAGTATATATATGTACGTTCCTTTGATGCGCCAAGCTCCTGCAAGCCTGTCTTGGAAAAGATGCAGGTGATCCACGGAGGAAGCAGCCATACCTGGAAAGCCTGGGACGTGCACGAGAGCTGCACCACGGGGTGGAGTTGTCGAACTCTGCCCAGGAGCCAAAAACATAGCCGACTGGAGCACAGTTTAGCTGTACCGAAAGACAAAGAGCTATGGGTACCCTCCAGCCTTGACGCAGAACATTGACTCTTTAAGTCGCCTTAATGTTATGATTTTTCTCCGTGTCTTTCCTCTGCCTTCGGTCACGCCAGGACTGCAGGGCGGCAGGGGCAGTGCATTTAGTTATACACAAACCCCATCCCTAAATCTGGTTGCTGATTGGCACAGCAAAGGGTTTTGTACCAGGGAGGCAGGGCTGCAAGGGACCCACTGGCCATCACCTGCTAGCTCCGAGGGATGAGGACGACCCAACTGAGCTCTATGCTTCTCTGGAAAGTGTCTCCTTGCAGGAAGGTCCCTCGGGCTGCGGAGCCAGGAGATGTTTGCATGGCTGGTTGTCTCGCACCGGGGGAGAAAGGGACTGATGCCTCCTAAGAGTCCTTTCCCTTAGGGGTGTTGGTTGCAGCTGTGTTGGTGTAAGGACATAGGCAGACAAAGCTCTTTGGGTAAACCTGATGTCTTTTATTAGACCTTTTATTAGTCTTTCCCTTTGAGCATGTTCCTGGCCGTGTGCGTGCCAAGAAGTGACAGGGAGGCAGAATAACGAGCAGATTTTTATTGAAGCAAGTTCTCCGGCTCAGCAATGCCTGCAGGTCTCTCCACGGAGCCGAGCTATCAGCAGGACGGGCTCCAGAGTTGGACCGTAATGCCAGCCCAGGGAACGGGCCAGACTCCCCCCAGCGATAGTGCCGCCAGGTTTCAGCACCACTGAGGCACCGAATGGGAAAGTCCCGAGGGGAGGGACAGGCTGGAAAGGAGGGCACGGCGGTGGGAGAGCTGGAAGGCCGCTGGCCCCAGAAGTATGGGGAATGCAGAGCACTCGCCTGCGGGGTCTGGTTCCCAGTGCATGGAGGAGAGGCATACTGGATGAGCCAGTGCCACAGCTGATGCCCGCAAGGGCCACAGATAGGGTGCGCCACAGAGCCCGGGCTGCCTCTAAAGCCTCAGACCATACCTGAGGCCCATCGATGGGGAAGTGGTTGTGAGGTCTCCGTAACGAGGCCAGCTGATCTCAAAGTCCTTTGCAAAGGGGGCTAGCATTATGGGGAAACAGGCTTGCCCAGGCCAGTGGCCAGCTGGGGATAGAAGCCGGGTGCCCGGTGCCCCTCTCCAGCCTCTGGGCCACTGGACCTCACTGCCCCCACCCCACTTCTGCGGTCTGCAGGGCTGCCCTGCCCCTGTCCCCAGCACCCCCCACATCCTCAGGGACACTAATGCGCTACTCCATGCGCAGATGTGTGCAATTGGTGCGACCACTGCTGCGCACGTGGACTCAGGACCCATGCACACAGAACCAGCCTGAGATTTCCTCGCCGGGGCTGGAGGGAGCAGGGAGACAGGCTATTTCCAGAGGGGGACAAAGCGACGCAACCATGCATCCCAGAGCCCCCACAACACCCATCCCCTCCTCGTCTCCCAGGCAGGTGTCTCTTTTGGGGTGCACGAATGCAGCTGTCCGGGGACAGCTGGGACGTGGGTGATCAGGCTTAACGCTCAAGCTGCAAGCCAGGGCATCAGGAGCAGGCACGGCCAGGAGGGGGAAGCAGGGGGTCCAGACTGGAGCCAGGAGCATGGGGGCAGAAGCAAGGA